CCCCCCCCCCCCCACCCCACACACACATTACACTTGGTCACTTAGATGGACCCTAGAAGTAAATGAACACTTCGACAACAGTTGGTTGTAAAACATAAATACATTTTATCTGCAAGTAGGACTGTCTTACCAAAAGTAGGACAGTTGGCAGCCCTACCATAGAAGCAAGTTTATGCACTGGAACACTGTGTAATTTATTTAAATGAATCCAATTTCAAGAGTTTTAATAAATACAGTACATACTTCAGAGTTTTGTATGATTTTCAAGTGAAATGTATGACTACCAGTTCTTTCTACAACACAATTCTATGATAATTAGATGGACATTTTTGTATTCTATACGGCTGAATGTTTATGAAGAGCAATAGAATTGTAATATGAAACAAGATTTCAGAAATTATAATGCATCTGAAAAATTCTATCATATATAAATGAACAAACATGTTTTCATCTTACATTCATATAAGTTAGGACAATATCTTTACAAAATCCAGTAAAATTTTACATTTTCCTTTACTATAAATAATTGTCTCTTTTTTAATATTCAAATGTGTTTTTTTGTTTATTTATGGCAATGCTAATAAGGCTAGCTACTGTCTTCCAGAAGGAAGGCAATCAGCTAGCTGAACCTCCAACTTTTGGGGCTACTCTTTACCAATGAATAGTGAGATTAATCTAAACATTACATTACCCCCAGAACTGAAAGGACGAGCATATTCAGCACTGGGTTTCAATCATAAGGCCTGTAAATTGCACGTTAAGTGTCCTAAACCAATAGGTTTTATGTAAGGCTTATTGTAAATTATCATATAAAGAAAAAAGGAGTTACATCCAATTTAGTTTGTAAATTTATTAGGCTACATATGATTGTGGATGGTTTCACATAGCCTTAAGAGAAAAATGTGTCATGTTTGAGTTTGTTATCTAAGAGAGGTAAATATGTAGTTTGATTGTTTTTATCACCTAACAGTAGAAGAAAGCCTCATATTATATTCTAACTGTTTCTTATGAGGTTCACTATTTTTATGCAACAGCTTATAGTGCACCTATAAATTAGTGATATATTTTGTATCAAAACTATCCATTTAGCATATATGAAAAGTTTTGTCATGACAAATAAAAATAAATAAGTAAAATTATTATTTTTCAATGTAGGTGAATGTGAGAAATGTATTACAGACCCATCATATATATGTCAAGTCAAATAAGAAAAATAAAAACAGCTTCTATGGCATTTCATTAGCATAGATATGGTTTAGAACCTCAGGTTATATACAGATGTTGGTGTTGCTACTTGTTTGTGGCCAACTGGTGTACATGAACTAATGCTTAGTGTATCTAAAATTGCTACATTAAGTGACTAACAGGGTCTGCCTGATATATATGTTGGATCTTTCAAGACCAAACATTGATAATCAACATCAAGTTATATGGGACATACTAAAAGCCAGATACCCAAATGCATTAATTTGCACTTACTATAATTAAAGGAAGTTTACCAAATATTTGTCTAATTTACCACTTGATCCAAATTACTCCTCAATACAACTAGAAATACCCAAGAGTTTAATATAATCAGCAAACTTTACTAATTTACTAATTACACAGGCCTGTGAATATAAACTTCATAAAATTTGTTTTGTTTTTAATAACGGATTTTCCATAATTCAGCTATGCAGATTTCGAAAATAATATTCATTTTTCTATCACATAAGGATTTTTTACAAATTGAGAAGAAAAAAAACTCTTACTTAAATCAAATTATTATTTCATTTACCACAATGAATATTTTTTATTATTATGTTTGTTAACAAAAATACAAACAAACTAAAGAAAAGGGAAGAACACTGATGTATCAAACAAACATGCATCCTCATTCATCCTGGTTATTTTTGTAAAATCTTTGTCTTTTAGTCTCAAAACTATATGTTGTGGTCTTTCTTTTATGTATTGCATTATGACGTTTTGTGTAAAGTCTGTATGTGATGGAGAAAAATGGATATCATTTTTGGATTCAACATATAGGAATTATAAAACCATCGCAGGCTTGTGTTATGCCCTTATCAATATCATGAATATCATTAATATGAATACTAAAAAGCAAAGGCCCAAGCACGTTTTCCCATTTGAGTTTATAGCCACCTATTTTAGCTGTATTGCTTGTATTCACTGATATCTTATTAACTTTTCTAGCAGTGACATTTTCATGGAAAAAAATACAGTTAGCACCTGCTGATATCAGTAATATGCAAGCCATGATCCTTAATCTCTTCATAAAATATCAGATTGAATGTTCTCAGATAACAGAAGCATATAAGATTATTGGCTTTAAGTTTAAAAAAAACAACTTAATATTTATATATTTAAGTTTTGCTTAAACTACATTTTTATCAATGATGATGATTCTTAAATCCATGGGTACAACCCCACTGAATTGTTTGAACACATAAAAACTTTTCCAATGACCTCCAGTCTTTAGCTCTTGTCTTTTAATACTTTGTTACATCTCTGTTCGTTAATTGATTTTCCGTAACTTCGTTCCGACGAAACTTTAGCGACACAAGTCCTTACTTAATAAAACTGGTTTATTCTTTCCGAATACAACTTTACGATACACTTAATTTCAACAGTCGCGCTATAATTCTCAACGAACGTCTCACGTGCTCGAGTTCAATTACACACTCTCTGACTGCAGTTCAATTACTCACTACTACACTGTTCCCGTCACGTTGTCAACGTCTTATATATACAAGACTAACACATATCTAGTAAATGCTAGGGCATTCTTGAAGGAACAGGATATTTCTAGAAAGGGGGTGGCATGATTCTAGTCACGTGACCACGCTGACGCAACAACTTATATAATCGTTATTAACCCCAATATAATGTAAGGGAGCATCTAAACAAGTTCCCATGATATCTCAAACAAACAATACTGCACCCATTCCTTATAATGTATAAAGAATAATGCACAATATTTATATATACTATGCATGAATAGTTTTTCTGAGCAATAATGATGTAAAGAACATATGTGAGAATCAGAATAACATACTTACCTTTAACAGTCAAGTGCCCAATATCTTTTAGATTTCTTAGACTATACAGAAACCCCTAGAGAAAGAAACCATTTGATCATCAAATTAGTTTACTATCTCAAAGAAAACAATTAAACAAAGAAAAAAAGTTTTTTTTTAACTGTTTGGTAAATTAGTGAGAAACAGCATTCTGGTGCACTTAAATTTTTTTGCATGGATTTTCATCAAACATAGATTACCCAAATTTATCAAAATATGATCTCACACCATTTCATTAAGCAAGTTTTCAATCCAACATCTAGAGATTAATTCATCTGCTAATTACATCTTTTAAACTAAAATCAACTTAATCAAAATATACACACACACAACCTACCAATAAGAAAATAGACATCTTTGAGAATACAAATCAACCATTTCCATGATGTCATATGCAAATAATTCTGATGTATAAATACTGGTATGCCTTGGTAAAGCCCACACAATACAAAAAGCAGTGAAACAAATGAAATGTTCCCAGACATTAACCATACTTTTATGATGTTTCATAACTAGACAATAGGAAGGAAATCATAGTCAATGACAAACTGCCAGGTCACTAGCAATACCACTTTCCACAGTGAATATCATGACGATGCAGTCTTAGTCACATCAGAAAACCAACAGAATGGATTTTTCATTATGTGAGAAGTATGAAGAATGACAGCTATAAAATGATTGTTACCTTTATAACATAGACTATCCTGGTAGATTTCTAGAAGACACTCCTAAATCAAGGCAATAATATACATTGACAGTAGTGGGCATTACAGATGCTATCATACCCTCCTGTCTTTAGAGGAATAATTTCTTCTGGTGGATCCAGTTTTGTACAATCCTTGGAGAGGGGAGAAACCTGGGTTTGGCAGCTATCTATTCTAGCAGAATATTTTATTGAATTACCTGCAAGCCAAACAAAATTTGGTATATTTTTGTTATAGCATATGGTGCCATAATTTGGACAGCTAGATGCTCATAACTGGTGGTATGTAAAAGGACAGACAATCATTGCAGCTCAATAAGTTACAATTCATGAGAAAGCCCTTCCACTTATCTACAACCATGACCAGCCTACCACAAAAGGCAGTGTTTTTATGCAAGATGGGGCTCCTGCTCATTCAGATTAAGTCCCAGAATGAATGCTTGAAGGTCAGGGCATTACCACTCTCCAATGCTCAGGCCAATTGCTAGTTATAACTCCTATCATTCAAATACATGTGGTGCATTCTTTGTCATTCCTTCCAAAATAATGTGAAATAACCAATTACTAGTGAGGATTCCACAGGTTCAAACTTTAAATCTTGTAAATATGATGTGTAACCTAGCCTCTGCTTTAAATATTGCAAAGGACAGATCCACTAAATATCACTAGCAGTCTTATTCCTACTTTCATGTTTATTTTTTCTTGCATGAGTATCTGTTTACTTATAGGTAGACTGTGTATAGCTAGAGAAACAATAAACAATTTACATATTCTATTTTTAAGTTCTACATGTATTTAACTAGTTTTATACTTACAGATGTACAATAACAGAATAGAATCAAATCAGAATTTAGTAAAAACGTATTCACTTGTAAAAGAACTATTAAAAAGTATATTGCTGCTTATTAATGAAACTGAACAACAGTTATTTCTGTTCTTGTTTTCTTTTAGTTATAATTTTGTGCTGAAATATGTTTATCAACAAAAAACTAATACTTTGGTGATTCAAGGATAAACCTTGAACAGTCACCTGATATATGCAAAAACTATGAATTCAAGGTCTTATAAGCATGTGGAAGGACAGAGGTAATGATTTTTGTAGGTAAAATAAAAGAAACAAAACTTAGTCTAAAGCTGAAACAAAATTCACAAAGGGAAAAACAGCTGATCATAAATACTATTATATTGATGGTATTAAAATTAAAAGAAAATGAAAATAAACTATACTAATAACTGAATTTAAAACTGTTGGTATTCAGTTACATTTTAAGAAAGAAAGATAAGCATATAATCAGCAGCAAAAAAAGAGAAGACTTTCACAGTAAGCCTTGACTGATTCTTTGACAACACAAAAACAAATCTGTCAGAAAATGCCAAATCTGTGTTCACAATTCATCTTCTCTTTATAGCTGAGAAGTCAGAAATTTGGATCATAAAAGTCTGGAATTATCTCTTTTCCATGTGAAACTTGAAAAGCAGTCCTCTAAAAAAAAGTAGTTTGCGATAAATGTATCCCATGAAGCACTAGACAGATTCCTTGATTGAGCCCTGCTACAGAAAGTAGTGTCTGAGACTAAATTTACCACATAACCTTGACTGTGTTTACCATTGTTGTAACATTATTCTTTTGTTCAGCAGGTTCTTTTAAATTATTTGGTAAAAATAATTAGAAGTTAATAACAAATTAGTTTACTAATTTCTTTCTTAATGTTTGTACACTGTTGTAACTTGTACTTTATAGACTTAAGTTTACAAATAACATTCAAATGCAAATACTAATGTATAAATAAACTTACTTTCACAATTTCATGGCTAATTGATTGAATAACTGAATATACAGGATTACAAACACCAAACCATGTACTTCACTAGAACTAAATACTTCAATGATCTAACTGACTGACTGACACTCTACCAACTCAATACTCATTCACAACTCACTTAAAGCATATTTATAATCTAGCCTTGTTTCAAGATACTTCACAAAGCAACTATATTTTTCATGACATCATCTAGAACAGTTTAAACCTACTCTCACAAACTTACATGATTATAACATCACATACCCTCTAGCTAACACCTAAATTAAAACATTGAAAATATACAACAGTATATTCTGTGGTTGGGTGAATTCTTTGGGATTATTTGGTAAAAATAATGCCAAGTCCAATCCATGGAATGATAACAAATTAGTTTATTTCTTCTTTAATATTTACTACAGGGTACCTTCAATTTTAGGGCTAACTTTACAAACAATGTTTGAAGAGAAATTTTGAGACTAATGGTATGTCTAACTCACAAATATATTCACTTGTTAAATTTCCTCTTGCTAACTGATCGATAACAAACATGTAGTAAGAAACTTACTGTTTAACTTACTAACTGAATCATAGAACTGAGTAATTCACTGACTGGTACTGACGTTAACTGATTCACTCATTGACTCACTGAAAACATCATTGGTTAACTAACTCACTAACTGACATTTATATCATTACCCATTTACCACTTGCTACATGAAACTTCTAGATACCTAACTTTCATGCAATTTCTAGATGACACTATGGAAGCTTCCTCTAGCAAGAAACGTCTAAATTAAAACATCAAAAATATAGTTTACAACTTGGAATATCTTAAATGCTGTAGATGGGATGGGAAATATACAGTATAAATTAATGAGGTATTTAGCATTTGCTTATTACAATACTAGCATAAAAGGAAACAATATGCATAGTAAGATTAATACTAAAAACAGATACAAAGTATAACACTTACTCTGTATCAACATGCTGAACATTTAAGTCATATCTACAAAATGATGTTTTATGTGATATATTATTTTGAAAATGACAACACATTAAATGCCAGTACATGAATCAAGACACAAATAAATAAATATGTTAAAGAATCAGTTAACAGAAAAAGGCATAAAAGAAAAACCTGCATGATCCTGGAACATATTTCTCTTCTTACCATATTTTATAAAGCATAATATTGCAAAAAAGAAAAGAAAATATAAACTTACATATCTTGCAACACATTTCTCTCTCTCATTTGGATCCACTATACATGCAGATAAATCAGAGATTGTTTCTGTCCCTTGAGTTCCACTGATAGTTAGAAGAAAGAAGATGGATCCTGCTCCATCTTCTAGATTTTTCCATATCCTGTGAGTTGTTTCTTTCTCCAAGGTATTTAGATCAATTGTACATCTAGATGGTGAAAGTTGTAGGTAACATTAACAGTTTAAAAATTTTTTGTCAACAAATTTTAACCAAAAGAAATGAAACATAAATACTAAAAACTCACTGGAAAAGCAATCATATTCAGTTAACATTCTAAGGTGCACATATCTTTAAAATATGATTACTGAATATTTATTGGAATTTTTTACACCTGTTTGCATGAGTTAAGACTACTTAAAATATATAATGTCAGTTAATTTTAAAGTACAACTCATCAATCATCTTTATGAAAAAAATTATATTTTTCCAGCTATATAAAACAAACCTGTAATAAAAAGCTGACATAACAAGCAAACAAGTGTTGCAACAAGATTAAGTGTCAATGAAAGGAAATAACTAATTAAAACTACATATATATGGTAAATGGTCATGTATTTTGTGCAACTCTTCTGAAGGAAAGATGGAGTTTCTAAGAAGCAAGTGATCTTATTTACTACCTTCTTTCATACTTTACATTTATAGTAGAGGTGGGATAAATATCTGATCCAAATGGATACTATTCTATAAGATGGAATCTGATCAGCTTGGATATTATTTTGTGATGAATTGGATAATCAAATAGTATTTCCATCAATAGATTCTTGCATAATATTACTTGTGCATGCATCACTCACAATAGGCACAGTGTTTTGTTGTTTACTTTCTATTAACTTCTAAACATAGAATTAACGAGTGGGAATCCTGGTGGTCATAATACAAACAGTCCTTATCTAGTTTAAATAAACATAAAGTCCAACATTGTGTTGCCACACTTGTTCAAGCCAGCAGCAGCAGCAATGGCAAATACAATGCAAAGAACAGCTTACTGAGGTATTGGAGTGTAAGGTATTGTCTCTCACCACCATATGTGTCACATTCCTTAAAGAGCCTGCAGTGGCTACTCACTCATGTTGTACTATACATCCCTCTGTACACCCTTCTAATTCAACTCCTTCAAATCATTATCCATCCAAAAGAAAGATTAGAGGAGGTTAAGTTAGTTTGACCATTGGACATATGATAATTTTATGCATATGACATACTATATATATAACTGAGAAAACAGTCTACTCTTGCAAAAAGCATTTTGAAAACAGTGCAATTTTATCAAAAGTTCAAAAAGTCTCGAACCTACTGTGACTTCTGCAAGCATGTACCCCACATCAATTGTAAAGTGAAAAAGTATAGATTATGTAAATTAAAAAATATAAATCTCCTAATATGTGACAATTATTTGACAAAGTGTGAATCATAGTTTTCCAAAAAAACATGTAATAAAAGCATAGATGGCTAAAGGCAAGGCAATTTTTGAAAAATAGAACAAGTTCTCCTTTTTTTGAATATTTTATATTCAATTTTTTCATCTTTAATAATAAAAACATTTAGTTACAGAGGCATTGCTATGCCCAGATTTTGTTTGACAGTGCCCCACCTCCTCGGTTCGTGTCTTGAAAAATCAGAATAGAAAAACCATGATCAATATCATACTAAAATTCCTGCATCTATGGGCACCAAGTCCCAAACTGTTTAAGTATGTAGCAATGTCTTTGTTTATTTACTTGATCACTTGTTAAACATGTGACAAATGAATTCATTCTGAGTAATAAAATAAAGCATATTGTTACGTCTCCGTTTGTTAATTAACTTTCCGTAACTTCGTTCCGACGAAACTTTAGCGACACAAGTCCTTACTTAATAAAACTGGTTATTTTCCGAATACAACTTT